ACAGACAGGAGGACAGTCTGGGACACAAACTGTCAGCCAAAGTCGAGCGCCTCGGCCACTCCATCACACTCCAACGTAAACCAAAATCCACTCGATTAAAATTGGATCTGTCCAATTCCCTTCAAACCCCTCGGTCACCGGTAAAAGCCTTCGCCTTGATTGACGGGAGGTGTGACACTTGATTGTTACAGCGGTTTCAGCTTGACAGCTGTGCACAGAGTCCGTGTGTCTCAGACGCACAGCCAATTCAAAAATAAAGAATTAGATTTTTGTAAGCAGTGCAAATATTACCGCAGATATTAGATTTGGATTTCGGCCTGTGGTGCATTGCTATTGACAAAACACGGTGCTGAGGTGCTTATAAACACTTCGAGACTGTCGACACTACATACGCTTTTTGTGTGGGTGTCTTGACCTGTGAGGATGTGTTTTTCACAGGTTTCTTCTGTCTGTCTCTCCGGCCATGTGGGGAGGGGGGTTGTTTGTTCGCGTTTTTTTCTATTTCCTGGTGTGTATGAGCGCATTCTGGAAACCAACTGTAGGAGTTTGTTTTTGAGGCCATAGCATGTGGTTGTCCGTCACTGCCTTCATACAATAGAGCCGAGTCTCAGCTGCGTTTCCTCCTGCGGTGCTCAGTCTAGCGCGACGTGCTCAGCGCACTGCGTGAGCCACAGCTTGATTAACATCTCGTCCCGTGCGATGCTAAAAAACAGAAGTTAGTGCAGCTTCGGCGGAATTTCATTAGCAGTGATGGCTGCTGATGGTTTTTCTGAATTCTGTATGAGAGACTCAGATTGTTGCACTTTTATATGCAGCGCGTTACAGCAGAGTGACTCTGTGGTGCCACGTATCTAAGTTGAAAGTCTGTTTGTGTCTTTATTGTGGTTTGTCTCTCTTTACTCAGAAAGCTGAGATTGCATTTTCAAACAGTATCTCTTCTTGCAGATCAGGATTCCTTCAGGCTTGCTTCACCGGAGGTCTTCAGTATATTTTAAAGTGAATAATGATAAGCCTGAATGTGCATGCCCACAAAGCAAGCGAAATATGTATATATTTAACACGGTTATTTTCTCAGTTCTAAGTAAAGTTCTTGTACTGCAAGAAACTCCAGAATTTTGTACTATCTGGGGAAGACTTTCTGCTGGGTACAGCTTAACATAATTACCATATTTGATCAATCATCACAAAATCTGAATAAAATAGCATTTTCTTCATTTCAGTGAGTAGTAATTGCATTTTAAAAGGGATTCTGCATCTTTTATTTAATCTTATTGTGGAATACAGCTATATAACGTTTAGAAATGTGCACCAGTTGTCTTTTGCAAGGTTAACATTTCCCAGTAATCACACATTTATGTCCGAATTAAACTGTAACATTTTCAGGCAAATCACAGGTGGCTGAGCAGAAATGATGTTTTTAGATGGAATGATCCCACATCTTACTTCAGCTTAGTGTTAGTAGTATTGAAGTAACTCTTTGGGGTCAAGTTAAAATCTCCTAGCTGTTACTGTTTTGTAGCGTTGATTATTCTGTGTATCCGCTCCTCAGCATGCACTTTTCAGAAGCCACTGGTTAACATTATTCAGATACACTTGGACATAAAGCAATGTTTAAAGAAACAGCACTAAAATAAATCGACTTGGAAACTTGTTAAAATAACAGTAAAAGCAGCGACTCAGCAACATGTACTTAAATTAGATGACACAGTCTTAATGGGTGAAGTGGTGTGGTTGTCCAGTAGAAAAACGTTTGAATCAAATTGCGTTTGCACTTCGCTTTCAGCTGTTCACCCAATTTGTTAATTGAGCAAAAGCAAACTGCACAAAGTTTGCAAAGCTATGACTTAAATCCGGAAATGTATGTTTGTGTAAAAAAAACCCAAAACCCTGACCCAAGTATTTCATGCAAACTTGAACCCTTGAAGAATTTCGATACTCGCCGCTACAGAGGACTAAAGGTTACGCCAGACAATGTTCAAAGGTTCAGCTGGAACCTCAGTGAAGAAACACCGCAGTTTCTGACAAGTAAGCCGTTAAACCGAGAAGGAAGTTGTAAGTGGAAGTCGTAAGTGGAGCAAAGCAGAAAGTGGTGGCAGGAAAAGAATGATGGAAGGAGATAGAGATGTGGGAGTGTGGTTAGAGGAGGGGTGGTGGTGGTGGTGGTGGAAGCACAACCCAAAATAGCCAGCTCACATGTTTGCTGTGTGCGTAGTGAGCTATGAAGCCGAGAGAAAGTACTCCTGCTGAAGCCGTGGCTAATCTAATGTTCGCCCACAGCCTAATTTTTGAAAATTTGATTGCCTTTTTCCAGCGTGCCTGCTTATTTGTGTTTACGTTTGAGACTTTCCCGAGTGAGTTACGCTTCCTCCCTCTCTCCCTTCTATTGTTCATTCTTTACTCGACTCTTTACTGTCTGTCTTGCCTTGATAATGGGAATTGATGTTAGTCAGCATCTCTGGCAAGAATCCAAGAGAAAATGTCAGCATCGAGGCCCTGTTTACTCATCTTTGCTAATTTTTTTTTTTTGACTAGTTCAAATAAGGATAAGTGAGGTGGGTCAAATCACATTATACACATACACACACACACACACACACACACACACACACACACACACACACACAGATATACAGTGTAAGAGCAGACTGCAGATGTGGCCCTGCAGCGTGTGCATTAGATCCAGAGCTCTTTCTTAGTCTGCCTCCGACTGTTTCATCTAATAAACACTGACTAGCTGCAGTTTCCACAGACTTCTGCAGGCGGAGAACACCAAAACTCACACTTGCTAACTCGCGCTGGGCAAGCTGAAACACAAACAACCTACACATGCAGTCCTTTGAGTTGATTCTTTTCATTCCACAGGGTATGTTTCAACACGCACAGCGGATTTCTGCCTTTCTCCTTTCACTCTTCCTCTCTCCTTCCTTCGCTTTCCGTTACTTTATCCCTCTCAGTATCGCCCGGCCTCTGCCCTGTGTCAGTGTTGTGTGTCTGTGTGCTCGATATGAAGAAGGTCCCATGACTCTCTCCACAGCTGATGCTGGGAGCAAAGCATGCTGGAAGTCAAGTGGCTGCAAGGGCGCTGGTTGGAGCACGCTGTAATTTGCTCTTTGATTTGTGTGCTTGTCTGCGCCTGTGTATGCTTTTGTGTACTGTGTGCTGATGTGCACCTTGGTGTTTTTAGGGCTACAGACTCACACGCTGCCTGTGCTGGCCGATGGAATATATGGTAAGACATTAAAATGATACAAGCAGCTGATCAAAAAAAACACATCGTGCCACAGTGGCAAAGGAGTTGCTGCTTCTACATTTCTGATATGATATAGAAATGAACTGACTCTCGCATCCAGCCCTGGTGGGCATATGTGTAAAATAAGCTTTATTTGTTAAAGCACTGTAATTTCAGGGCTGCACAATTACACCAAGAATAAAATAAAATTGCTCTCAAAGATACTGTGGAGACAAGAGTGATTGTAGTTGGTGTGCAATATTTCACCAATTAAGATGCCTCCTTTCCATTTTCATGAAATTATAATCGAGCGTTATGAAAGTGTCACGTTTCAAGCTTTGATATGAAACAAACTGGAATGTTCTCTGACCCATTTAAAAGGGTTTCCAAGTAGCATATGCAACATAAAACAAAAACCTTATTCAAGAGATTTTTCAACAAAGCGCAGCCTTCTAAGAAGCAGAAAAATCACACGCCCCTCCTTTTTTACTCCTCATTCGCTGCCTTTAATATTGCACAAGTTTTCACCTGCAAGAAAGAACTGGAAACTAAAGTCATTTTGAAATCGTGCTTCAGTAATTGTACAGCCCTGTGCGTGTAAATTTGTTGTGGTTTGAATGGAATGTTAACTTTACTTCCTCTGCAGCTTATTAGTTGCACCCAAATAAAACAAATGCAGTTGGAAGCTGTGAGATAAATCTTACCTTTATGAGCTAAAAACTCAATTCAATTTTATGTATCTAGCGCCAAAACACAACAACAGTTGCCTCAAGGTGCTTTATATCGTACAATAAGTTTTAGTTGGGTGTACTGAATAAGCTGTCAGCTCAGTGTGGTTGCTACCTTTTGTAATGTAAATTCAAGATGGCACCTGAACTGTTAATTCACTCAATCTAATAAGGGAGCACTAAATGTTCAATTAGGTCAACCCTAAGCCACGGTGTATCGTGTGTTTCGCTGGTTCTGGGCATCTCGCAGGCTGTGGGTGGAGGGTGTCTTCTTCGCCAATCATGCCCATCACTACCAATCAGATCACCGTGTATGATGACGAATGCTAGCTGCCTGCAGTTGTCTCATTATGAACCTTCACATCCTTGAGTGCACTGCTTGAGCTCACGATGATGGTGTAGTGGTGAAAATTGGTACTGCGGGGACTCTTTGGGGTGTCATTTGAGGACTCTCTGCTATCCACTCTGCCGGGTTCCTGTGTCACTCTATGTGTGGTTTCCTCTACTTTCCGCAACACTGCCTTCTCATCAGATGCGCTCGAATGTCAAGACCAATCTGTGGGATTTCTGCTTTATGTCTTCCAGTCTTTTCCCCTAGAGTGCTGTAGTCATGTAGTAACATTGGAAATATTTATCATCATGCGAGGGCAGTCTGCTTTCTTTTTCCCCCTCACTTTGTCCACTTTTATCAAGGTTGTATAGAGTGACCTCATGTCACAGCACACAGAGGCTATCTATATCCATCCTTCCTCTCTCTCTCACTCTCTTCCCCTCACTCACTTTAACTGTGTTTCTCAGGTTACCAAACATGAATAAGGGAGGAGCGTTGAATACCCAACATGAACAGCCCACCCTCCACATGCACACACAAACACATGTATCCACCATCCCTTCCCTTCTCTTCCCTTCCCTTCATTCCTCCTTCCCCATCCCCATCTCCATCTCCCCTTGGAGTGTGTGCATTTCTGAGTAGAAGTGCAGCATCTTGCTGTGCATACACATGTATACTGCTAAATGTCTCTGGCTGCAGAGAGGAGGTGGGGGGAAGGGAAGGAAACAGGAAGGAGGTAGCATGGGAGAAAAGAAGGTGGGGAGGGCACAGGCTGTGGCGCGGTCATGTGTGTGTGTATGAAAGAGAGAGACTGAGAATGGGAGGCAGCATCACCCACCCAGACTGGGAGGAGGGGAGGACAGACAGTGTGCTTGTGCCTCTAACAGACAGACAGAGGTGGAAGGAAAGTGGGGATGAGAGACAGACGTGAGGGGAGAAGAGGAGCACGATGAAGGACTACCATCATCCATCCTGGCAACACTGCCATTTCACCATCTGCTGAAAGAGTGAGAGAGAGAGAGAGAGAGTGAGTGAGAGGAGGGACGAAAAGAGGAGGCAGCCAAACGGAGGAGAGGATAGATGGAGAGGAGCTGCCGGCAGTGACTTTGTGAATTAATCGAGCGGAAGAGCGGATCAGAGGAGAAGCACGTTTTTCGGGGAGTGGACGAAGGGAAAGCTAGGAAGAGGAAGGAGAGGACGAATGATCGGACAAGCCGTGGCCGTTTAAACATTAATGTGGTTCTTATGTGAATACGGAACCTAGCTTTAGGAGAATCACCGTGGATTATCAATTGCATGCTTTATAAACCAAAAAAGGAACTACTTCGGTCTTTGTTTTGTTTTTTTGTTTTGTTTTTTTGCCATTCATTAAAACACTTAGGGAAATCGATAAGACTCACTTTATACAGAACAGTTTAATTACTTTTTCTTTTCTTTTTTTGGAAATACAGACTCCCTTTGTGATTTTCTATTTTCTTTTCCTATCCTTCATGAGCGTAGGATCTACTCTGCAGGATGTTATACAATCATTCTAATCTTTGTTAGCTGCTGCACAGAATATTCAGGTTGTTTTTATGCAAGTTTTCTAAACATGAGTTGTCTTTTTGATGTTAATTCTTGGTGAAATTCTTGTTCATACAGTTATTAGAAAAGAGATTATTGTTCTTTGAAAACAGTGTCAGTTTTACATGCCCTAGTCGGAGTCGGTGCAAGCGACTGACATCGGATGTCAACATTGATTCGGTTTTATGGCTGGCGGGATGCCGGCCAAACTTTGATCATTTCCTGAACCATATTGATCTTTCTAGGAGTCTGTAGTTTTTCTCCTGTTGGATGAAAAAAAAGAGCTCTAATGTGGAGCCTTTGATGGAGCTACTAATTGCTTGCAATGTGATTTGACAAAGCGGTTATCTCTTTGTCTGAAGATTTCTGCTGTTGTCAGGACTTCTCAGTATATATCCTCTGCAGGCATCTCTTTTAATGTCTGTTGCCATAGCAACGGGCAGCAGCTGCAGACAGAACAAGATGTAAAGTTGGTTTTCCTTGTCCTATCTTTTTAAACTGGTGCTGTGCCGTTAGGTAATTGTATATATTTACTAGATAAAACAAGATTAGTTCATTGTTTGTGTCAGTTTTTACAGTTTTTGTTTCCCTTCCTCTCTACTAGACAGTCCTTGTCTTTGCGGAGCTCGGCCAGCTCCGGGAATCAGGGTTGTTTCAGGTCACCTGTCTCCCCCTCCCAATTCTCCGTGTTCGCCTTGTACGACTCATCTCCGTCCAGCCTGTCCCGATCTCACATTTATTAATGACAACTACCATTTCCATCAGTCAAACTGATGAGCTCTTATCAGAAATGACTGGATGAATTAGATTACAGTACTGATTTCACTTGTACATATCACAGCTGCGTGGCCCCAAGGCCACCAATCACCAGTCATTTGCTGTGTTTGTCACAGCCTTTTCCTTTTGCTGTTTGTCTCAAGGTGACTCAGGATTTCTCTTCCTGTAGAGGGTCATCTCCTCTGCAGTCACCTGACCTACACTGTGTTCGGTGCACTAAAACATCCCTGGGAAGAGCCAGGGTTAACTCTGCTCATAGAGCATTTCAGCAGCTCGCCTTTTTTTTAACAGCACCTGAATTTCTCTCCAGTGTTAGCAAGTCTACTGAGGTTGAATAGTTTGCCTTTTTAAGTGCTATTCATCTCTACGGACTAAGTTCTGGTTTTATTTGATGCTTTACAGCTTTCTGGAGATCGTCCCAGCCTGTCTTGCAGTTCATAAGTATGACTGGATCCTCCATGGTGCTTTCTGGCCAAGACCAGATGGATGACTAGCTAGAATTGCTAGACAATCCCTCTGTGGTGCTAGACTGGTGTAGGCGACTGTTCCTTTGCCATGCATTGAGCGCCCACCACAAGCTTGCGGGCTGTCCTTCAGGCAGAATTAAGTTCTGAAATCTTAGTGTGAGGAGAAAAAAAAATAATCAACCTTTTTTGCTTGGCATTACTGAAACGCTGGTGCCACTTTTACAGACTTTTGTATGTGTTGTGGAAAAGGTGGGTGTAAACCTTCTCCTTTGAGCGAGCAAAGGTCAACAGATTGTAAGTATGACTAGTGCCTCAGCAGCACTAAGTTGTAGGTCAGCCAGCCAGCTTACTGCTGGACTGTAGGTGTAGCTTTGCCTTCTACTGAGGTCAAACTGTTGCAGACTGTTTTAATTGTGGGGCTCCGGTTTGTGAGAGACTGTTAATGTAAACAGACTGTTGTTTGCCTTCTCGATTGGACTATGCAGACTATGAGATGTGAGATGGTGTCTGTACAGTAGAGAGAGCTTACTTGCTGCTTGATAAGCCCTGCCTTAGATAAGGAAGGAATATAACTCTTGGCTCGTTCATATCATCTGTGACAGTGTCAATATTTTTCTCTCAGGTAAATAACTCTGTTCTGCGATTGCTATTTGAACTAGGCCGTAATAAAGTTACAGGGTGAGAACAGCCGTGCATAGAGAAATCAGCCTAACAACACCAACACTGGTGAGCCTCCAGCACCATTCAGGGAACCCTGGGTTGGGAGTTCAAACCTGACCAATCAGGTCTCATTACCATCACAACAAGACCACCGGTAGTCGTTATCAGCCAATGACCTACATTCTTCAGTGTTACATCACCACCGTGCTACTGCAGTGTGTGTCAGTGTACCAGACACAGGCAGCATCTCAGACTCAAACTACCGCTATCTAATGGTGCTCCAGGAAGAAAAAAATCAACACCCTATGTGGCCAGTTTTAGGGAACACACTTGAAACAAGACAGGCTCACTTGTTTTAGCCATATCAGGAACATCAGTCAGGAACAGATTCAACTCTGCCAGTGCAGTCTTAAGTACTTCACTTTTCGTCTTTAGGGTTTCTGTTGGTGTCAAAGGTTACCATGCCTAGCCTTTAACCATCTATAATCCTAAAGCTAAGGGAAGCAGAAAGACAGGGCTCAATATTATTTTTATTTATTTTTTTCGACTGAGGGACTGTTAAACGGGACAGCCTGGAGAACGGGCGAGCAGACGAGGGAGGGGGAGAGGGGGAGCGAGAGATCATCTGGAAGAGGAGAGAGGAAGTGGTGGCGCGGGAGAGGGCGGAGGCGTTGGAGAGACAGAGGCTGGCGGAGTACATAGTGTGGAGGAAGAGAGAAGACTTCCAGGATAAGAGAGGAGACAGAGAGAAGGGAGGAAAGAGTTCAGAGAAAGGGAGGGCGCCTGCGCCAGAGGTAATCTGGAAGAGAAGAGAAGAAGAAGAAGAAGCAGGGAGAGAGAGAGCGAGGGCCATTCAGAGAGGACATGAAAGCATTTGGAGGAAGAGAGAGAGGGAGTGAAAAGTAGGCGTTAAAGAAAGTGTGCTGCTACCAAGAGTTGGAGACTAGCCATACATCAGTAAGCCTCCTCTCTCTTCTTTAGCAGTTCTGGGCTTCATTGAGCACTGCAGGTGCTTGCTGTCGTATCGACCAGTTGAGGCTGTGTATAATGTGTGCGTCGCTGCCCCGTTAGCGTGCACGGCCCTCCTTGCAATCCCCTCGCTGGCTGCTAATAGGATTTTTATGGGCCCGTGTCAAGCAGGATAGAGCTGCCAAGGGGAGCTGCTTCACACGTGCACGCACAAGCGCATGCCAACACGAACATACACAGATAATCAAAGAAGCATTGTAGGCCGGCAAGGTTTATACTGCCTCACGCATGTAGACACATCACGTAGAAATGCGCACCCCCCAGAGCAGTAAGACATACACATGAGGGGGTGTTCAGAGAGACAATCACTTGTGCTGATTCTTCATGGTGCTGGTGACAGCTGAATTACTGGGCCTCACTCAGAGGCTATTAAGTTGGGACAAGATAGTCACAGATATTGTTTTACGTCATGGCAAAACACCAAGAGCAACCGTCTGTGGACAGCTAAGAAGCTATTCATCAGTTCCTGGGAACTCAGAAAACACTCAAGTAAATTTCAAAATGAACTCATGACAACATGAGCTGCACTGGTGCACTAAAAAGCTTTTTTTGTCTGTGTTTTACCATTAACTGGGGCACCCAACGTTTCCTCTGTGCTTTTGCTCATACTGCTTTCATTGTGGATAAAGCCGTTTTTAAAGCAGTTGGGTTTTGGCTGCCTGGAAACAAGTGGAGGACACACAACCAGACAGATGGATACAGCTCTTACACTGAGCAAGACAGACAGAGTGCTGTTTGTCCTTTCAGAGAAAAACTTTGACTACTGAGACAAAGAGACTTTGAATCACGAGAGCCTGTGTGGACTTGCACGGATATAAAAACTGACACTGCAGATTCATTATGATTCAATTCATTATGGAGAAAACAAAGTACACCCATTTTCGGAGTGAATCACTGAGCTCAACTGACGAAACAAACTCCAATCCATCATCGTTTCCTCCTTCCAGTCCTGTCACCCCCCTCACACCCTCCCCTGGCTTACCTTCCTCTCTCTCTTCCTCATCTCTCACTCCCATTTTGCCCCCCTCCTCTCCCCAACAAGCTGAGAACAGCCCCACCACCTTCTGCTCCTTCTTCCCCAGAATGGGCTCTCTTCGTCTGGGTGTCTCAGCTACTCTTCTCCCAGGACTCAAGGCCTCAAGCAAATCACAGGGAGCTCAGGCACCTCAGGCACCTGTTGAGTCCTCTGGGGATGACAGGAGCAACTCTAGCTCCTCCCCACCACTTCATCACCCTGTTTCGCTTCTAACTGCTCCTTCTCCCCCTCCCCGACCTCCTCTACAGGACATGAACCGGCTAGGAGGGGTGTCTAGGAGGGCACGGGTGGAAGGAGGGCAGCTGGGAGGAGACGAGTGGACGCGCCATGGCTCCTTTGTCAACAAGCCCACCCGTGGCTGGCTGCACTCAGACAATGTGGTCAGCACCACTGGTGTTTCCTACAGTGTACGGGTAAGTGGGTGGCACATTCTCAGTAGCCTCTAGCTTAAATGCAAAGTTGCACGTCACCCTTGCCAAGCTGTTTCTGTGCATATAAACCCTTCATTTTTAGAAACTGAGTCAGAAATGAGGAAAGGATACTGTTGCTTTCTTCCTCTGTTGTGTTCCCTTGGGCCAATGGGACCAGGATGTAGGAAATGTCTAATGTTAATGTTTTGCCTTCCTTTTTCCTGGGCAGTACATGGGATGCGTGGAGGTGCTACAATCAATGCGGGCGCTGGACTTCAACACCAGAACTCAGGTCACCAGGTGAGATTACACACAGCTCATCGGCTGCAGGTTTGACCTTTCTCTCGTTTCATTTCTGCTTTGTTTCTGAGGGGGCGAGATGTTAAAAGTGTGGTTACACTTTGAAAAATGTTGGCGGCTCACACATACATCACTCACCTCGCATTTACTCCTTTGCCCGCTCGCTCGCTTTCCGTCCTGCTTCCGCTCCATTTTGCTTGCGGGGCTTGTTTCTTTCTGTTTTAGCATCTGACTACATCTGCCCGTGTGTGTTTGCATGTACACGCCTGCCGCTCTCAGAGCCCCCAAATTAGAATGTTCTGGAATCCTGGTGGTTTCCATCCGGTTTCCGCAATGATGTTTGTCTCCGTGGCAAAGACGAGCCCAGTCGCCAGGGACGATAAATTCTATCACCCGCTGCCAGATCTCATTTAATATCCATAAATGTGAATCTGGGAAGGTGTTTAGGTTAATTACATGCCATTTGCAAACATCCATGTTTTTCATTTTTCAGGGAAGCTATCTCTGTGGTGTGTGAGGCAGTACCCGGTGCCAAAGGAGCCCGCAGGAGAAAGGTAGGCGCTACATACAGGAGCACACACCCATAAAGAGCATTATTTATTTATAAGACTTAAGTGGACAGCGTTATGAAGAGTTTTCTGGATAAGAGCTAGATTTAGCTCGGTTGTCCACCCTTTGGTCAGTGGGCTATTTAGTCTCATGTATACACACAAATGCACAAAGAGTCATGTATGCATGATTTTAGAGGACATTACATTAAGTTGCATTCATAACCTGGAGTTTTTCCTATTTGTTATTACATTGATCCTAAACTATAACCATTACACATTTGGCACTTCCTTTTTTTCCACAATGTGTCTTTGTTAACTGATTTAGGTCCCCAAAACGTGAGTATAGCTGGACCACATGCACACATAAGTTTGTTTGGCTATCTTTATGAGCACATTCACTGACTTAATCCATTCCCTTGCCTCTTTATCTTCATAGAAGAGCCTATCCCTAATCTAAACCTAATTATAACCTTAACCTACACACAAAAATCAGGACCAACCAAAATGTCCCCACTTTTCCTCCAGTGATCTAAAAGTCAGTGGTTCCGTCAAATATAGTTTTACAAGTACACACATACACACACACAAATCTTGATTTGGGCTGATTGTACACTTCTGTGGTTAGCCGACTACTCACAGGTAATTACCAGTCACTCTCTGATCTCTCTTTTCCCTCCCTGTTGTCACAAGGGAGGCTGGAGAGGTGGAGTAGAAGCTTGTGTGGAGCCAGCGTCAGGCCAAAGGAGCACAACAGATTAGCAGACACAGCCGCCAGTCTGCTGTTTAAAGACTGCGAGTGTCTGTGCACAGTATTCCTGTAAACCTAAAAACATCCACCCAAACAGTCTATAAAACAGGTGGCTATATTCAGCTGCCTGCTGCTGTAGCAGGGTTTGACCAAGGAATGTCTGACAGTATAGCACAGCAGACAAAATACAGTTATAGGATATAAACTAGAATAGATTAAACTAGTCTAGTGCCTCTGATTTGGCAGGACTGAGGTTAATGTGGCCAAGCATGTGCTTCCTGTCCTGTTGCTCCTGCTTTTCTCACTGCACACTCTAAACATTTTGGAACAAATATGGATGAAAGCCATGAGAACAGTAGGAGGATTTGGATAAACGTGCTGGCGCAATAGTGCTGGCATGGTCTGTGTGATGCTCTTGGCCCAGGCTACAGTATGCGAACTGTCCTGTCTATTCCCAATTGGTCGCAGTTGGCCTTGGAGACAGGATCACTTTCACAATTGCAGCTGTTCCCCCACTCCCACACACACAGGCATTTTCACACATATGCCCACAGAGTCATGCTGAGGCAGGGAGCACTCAGTGGACTATCATGCTTTGTTGAATTTTTTTAAAAAACAAAACGTCCTGTTGCTTTTGGTTTGGGCACCTTGATTTGATTATTACTAAAACTGCTCTCTCTCCTTTTGCAGCCTTCTTCTCGCTGTCTAACGTCCATCCTGGGAAAGAGTAATTTACAGTTTGCAGGCATGACAATCAGCCTCACCATCTCGACCAGCAGCCTCAATCTGCTGGCCTCTGACTGCAAACAGGTTAGAACGAAGCTCTAACCTCATGCTGCTGTTTTCTCAAACTCTACCCAGGCATTTCGTTGAGCTGTCCTTGAAAGCCAGTAATCTCGCTTTTGAGTCAGAAATACACTTGATTGTCTGAGCTTTCTGTTGTAGCTATGGGGCATGTTTTCAGGTACCCTGAGTGCACTTAGCCTGTGGAGTTTACCGAAGCAGAGTAAACCTGGGGATCTCTTTGCTTGAGGGATTTTTGTGTGGATTTTATGATGTTTTCTTAATTTCAAAGACCAATCTACAGATGATTTATTTCAAAAATTCTAAATGTTTTTATTCTTTGCCTTCAGAGTTGCATTGTAATCATTCCCACTGCTTTCAGCTTCTTGTTAATGGTGTAAACATGTTTAGTTCACTAAAATGTTAAAGGTGGTTGAATCTCAGTGATATAAACATCATTTTTTTAAAAGAAATTCTCAGTATTTTTCCATATGTATTATGTATTGTGACCTCCTGGAATATTCAGGAGATGCCCCGATATATATTTAGAACTGCTTCTCATTGTTTGCCTCGTTTACTCTGGATGCTGCACAAATCCCTCTTAACCATTGTCTTGATTCCTGCTTTACCACAAGGCAGGATGTGATCCTCCTCTTAGACCTCTAATGAGTTAATAGCTGCTGCACGATGTTTATCTTTGGGGAGATGGTATACGGTGGTGTAGTGCATTCGCATTAGCACGAAGAAACATGTCATGTAGAACATATACCAAATCACAATTAAGGACTCACAGACCACACTCTGTGCTTGAAGCATTAGCAAGTGTTGATGCTGTTATTGATCTAACATGGGTGGTTGTTGCAGACTGTTAAAAAGGTGTTCCATCCATTGTCCCTACTTAGTTTTTATCTCTGCTGCAATTGATAGCGCTCAGTGGAGGAAAGAGCACTTTTCTCAGTAATGATTCCACATTTGTCTTTTCATCCACATGCTTTCATTTCACTTCCCACATACTTCATGTCACCCACGTGCTCTCCCTCTCCTTCTTTCTCCCTCTCCTTCTTTCTCTCTCTCTTTCTCCACAGATAATCGCCAATCATCACATGCAGTCCATCTCTTTCGCCTCTGGAGGAGACCCAGTGAGTCAGCCAAACCCTGTTTCTCAGCTGAAATCTCACTCTCGCCTTTTTCCATCTTTCTTCAGCCAGCATGCTCTGCCTCCTTGCCTTCTGTCATTGTCTATTGCTCTGAATACCACTCACTTTATTGCAGCCTTACTGGATTGCCTGGACTGCAGTCCCTCTTTCAAAAAATTATCTCTTTACTTCCTATCTTCTCTCTCTTTTCTTTAAGCTCTGTAAGTTTTTAACTTCTGCTGTGGCTTAAACACCAAAGCCTTCGCTTTACCTCTTTCTTCTTCTTATTTCTCTTCTTAGCTTTTCTGTCCTAAACCTGCCCTTCACTTTTCCCTCCTATTGATTTTTCCCATTCTGACTGTCTTCCTTGTCGGTCTCCCTCAGGATACAGCTGAGTACGTAGCATATGTGGCCAAAGATCCAGTCAACCAGAGAGGTACGTGGCAAAATGACAGCTTCACCAAGGTAGCAGCTGCCAGTTTAGATAAAAATGATCCTTTAATACACGAGTTAGAGTAGTTGCTTTTATTGCACTGTGCAACTAGTCCTCTTTTTTTTACTTTCAGCAAATATAACCAAACATTTTCATTAATGTATGAACTGAATTAATCTTAATATAAGTAAATCAAACTTAATAGCTTTATTAGCTGTTTATTCCCCTTTGAATTTGCCAAATACCCCGCTAGAGCTAAGACATTACACACCCAGTGTGTAGAGAAAAGGCAGAAGTACATTTTCCACCAAATGTCGATTTTTGAAGTCCCATAGTTTGTCTGCAAGCTAAATTAGTGAACTTGTGGCTCATTTCTCAGCTGAAAAAGCAAAAACACTCCTCTGTTTAATACTGAAAGTGAAAATCTTTGGGCTAGATTATTTCATTAAAGTTCTAACATGCAGTGCTTATATATAAAAAAAAGAAGCCATCCTATTGCTTATGTAATTTCTTAAGTTAAAACTAGAGTGTGTAAAGTGTATTAGAGCTGCTACATGTGTCCTACAGCATCGCACATAATAAAAATGTACATGCATACGTGCTTTTGTATTCTACCTGTATCTGAACGTATTTGTATGTTGGAGCACATGCTTCCTTCAAAAGAAGCCTGCTTATCAGCTTTTTGTGCTTCCTTATTGCAGCATGTCATATCCTGGAGTGTTCGGAGGGTTTAGCCCAGGAAGTCATCAGCACCATTGGTCAGGCCTTCGAACTGCGTTTTAAACAGTATCTAAAAAACCCTCCGAAACTGGTCACACCTCATGACAGGTAACTGTCGCTTGCACAAACCCAAACCAAGAACTTGTATTTGCATATTGTCTCGTATAATTTGTTTCTGTATCTGTTCTCTGTGACAGAATGGCTCCATTTGATGGCTCTGCATGGGAGGAAGAAGAAGATGAGGCTGCTCCGCCTCCTGATGTCCCGTACTATAATAATTTCCCTGGAAAACAGCCTCCCCCTGCTGGAGTGATTGACATGAGGACCCGGCCTGGTGCCACGCTGGTGAGAACCGTGCATATTAACATGAAAGAAGGAAGACAAGCATAACCCCCACACACACACACAAAAAATAATATTTAATTAATTACTTGTGTCATTCCTAAGTGATAGATAAATAGATAATCATGTAATCATTTCACTAGCCAGAAAAGAACATTTTTTTGAGGATGCCCACATGGTGCACGCATTCAGCATTTGTTTGTACCCCTCTGTGTTTGCAGCCTTATGGACAGCCGGGTCAGAATGACATTCATAAACAGCCTCTGCCACCACTACCAGGTGAGCTCTGTCGCTGCCTGCCTGTGTGCATCTCTTTGGACTTTATCTGTCGTTCCTGTCCTTTATATTATTTGTTGTTAAATCATGAGAAATTGGTCAAACTTTCTCTCCGTTTTTTGCTCTGTTTAGTCCTGATAAAATTCTTAGAATTGCAAGGAAGTGAGAATACGTGGCAAAGTTCTTCCTGTGTTTGTGCAACTTTTACTTATTTCCTTTTTTATTTTGTTTTTCTTAGTGGGTGCCAAAGAAGGTGGGCGGGAGATGTTTGATGACCCTTCGTACGTCAACGTAGATAAACCTCGTCTCCCAGCTGCAGCAAACGGAAATGCTCACAAAGACGCTTTCGACATGAGTAAGTGTCTTTTTGTGCGTTTTTGCTTGAAATCTGCTAAGTGAAGTTCAAATGGACTGAATCCTGAACACTAGTGCAAATCATTAGCCTGTGAGAAAACTAAATAAGAAAGTTAATTTGTGATGTGTGTGGGTTGTAATCAAGATGACCAAAATTTCTGGCAATTGCAATCAGCTATTTTTCTTTCATGTGAGAAGAAAAGAGGGTTAATCATTGGGCTCGTGAGATGAGTAAAGTAGTTTGTATTTTACATTTCCATATGACTGATGCTAATTGGCAGTGGAGCTCTCCACAGAAGTCAGCCTCAGAGGAAGATAAGGATATTAGAATGTCTTTGTCCATTACAGGGGCAATTTGTATAAGATTATTGATTGACTACATAAAGCTTTTCACGGCAGAGTCCACAACTGTGTGCAGCATCTGTCAGAGTCAATGTGGTTCACTTCCCTATTTATCGGTCGTGCAGAAATGCAGACAGTGCTATGGGATCCCACAGGACAACATGTTATCCACAGTGAAATACAAAATAATACATTTCTGTGTGTTCATTTTTCAAGAGCCACTTGATGATGCCCTGGGGGTTTCTGGGCATGGAGGCCCAAACTCAGTGACAGCAGTGCCCTCTATGGTGCAGCAGTTACAGTCTGAAATCTGGTTCCACGGGAGCCTAAGTCGTAAGGAAGCAGAGAAACTGTTGACCCGAGATGGAGACTTCCTGGTGCGGGAGTCTGGAACCACACCTGGGCAGTACGTCCTCACGGGACAGCAGGGTGGTCAGCCCAAACACCTGCTGCTCGTTGACCCAGAAGGAGTGGTACGTCACGAAACGATCAAATTCATAACAGAGATTTTAGAGTGGAGTGTTATATTGGTGTTGAAGCTTACTCTAATTTATTCCCTTTTTCTTTTTTTAGGTCCGTACAAAAGACCACCGGTTTTCGAGTGTCAGCCACCTGATCAGTTACCACATGGACAACAGACTTCCCATTGTGTCAGCTGGGAGTGAAGTGTGTCTGCAACAGCCAGTAGAGCGCAGGGCCTGACTTTACCCACACCAATGAAATACACCACCAAAAACATACACTCCTACTATTATATCAGTTCTGCACAACATACACGACCACACACACACACACACACACACACACACACGCTCATTTCCTTTAATGCACACAGAAACACTACACCTAACACACAACGATACATATGCACACACATTGCAAAGAAAGCCAAAAAAAAAATAGAAAAAGTATCACCAGTTTCTCTGCAAAATCACTCACTTGCTGCTGTTGCTATATTTCCTGTCCAAACTGTGATCTACGGTTCCTTCGCTGACATCACCGACTATCAGGCGCATTCCTCCAAAGCGGAGAAGCACTGCTGCAATTTCTCAGCCTACTGTGAACCAGGAAGGAGCCCTTTGCAAATTACAGAATGGGGCAGAAAACAAATGCAATCTTTTTTTCTTTTTGTTTTTTAAGAAAAAAAAAATCTTTATGTGTAATTATGAAAGAAAAATGGAAACGTAATACTACATGGGATCGTGTACTGAAATGGCAGAACTGAAGAGTGTGGAAAGGAACATTAAGGGACATGGAGGGAGATCTTCAGTACTTCTAAGCATGTGCTTTTTTTATTTTTTCTGAAAGGAGGGAAAAAAATCCTCCTCAGACTGTTGCTGGAGCATTTTAGATAAAACACAAACTGGATGGCAAGAGTTCTTTGTTTCCGAGACTGAACTAGGCTCAAACACAAACTCTCACAGCAATCCTTAGTATAAAATAATTCGGCTGGAGAATATGTGTACAGGTATACGAGTTTGGTTCCGATCTCATCAGAGGGCCACCCCCAACCCCAACTTCTGCTCTTTTAAGGACTTTTAAACCCCTGGAGGAAGGCCTGTATGCAAATCTAGGACTGCTATGCCAATGACCTTCATATACTGTATATTCTTTTTTTTTTTTTTTGTATTTCTGTCTATTATCTTGGCACTCATCAATCAAAGGACACCCTGAGTACGCAAGGATCAAATCAGCTGTATCCTCCCAATCCCTTTCTAAACGCAGACGTACACACCTTTTACACAACTGAGTCAGCACCACCTGTCATGCCAAAGAACATGAACTTGGTTGAAAAGGAAGCAGAAAAGGAAGCCATGAATATTAACAACTCCTATCGATCTTGTGCGCTTGCGGCATCGGAGCAAATGTGTGTAGAAAGAAATGCATTTCGAAACGCGCCCGTTTTAGAGTGGATTGTGTGCATGGGGGGGCAATAAAGGAGATTTTTAAAAAATACATCAAAATCAACCACAACACAAAATTCAGTAAGTTTGGAGAAGCTTAGACGAGATATTACTGAGCTATTGGTTTACATTAAACACCTTAATATGCGTTTGCATCGACAATCTATGTGTTATATCTTTTAAAGAATATCCTAATTGAAAAGAGCAGTTAGCCGGAGACCCCTTTGACAAGTGTTTAACGGTCTAAGCAATGAATTTCCTTCTGCAAAAACAATGCAAGTTATGTCATGGTAACTGGTTATGTAATTTTGATGTTCGTGTTTTATTGAATCGTTTGAGAGAGTAATGAACGATTTCCAAACCTTTTATGCTCCGAGGTTAGACGGATATTGCTAGCAATGAAATGTTCAGCCAAAGGTTGCTCCTCGGCGTGCTGTGTTCACAGACTTTCGAGGATCAGGAGGGAGACGTTCACGTTATTGTTTACTGTTTTCCTCCTCCCTCACTTCATGATGTAGTTGTTTTTGTTTTATATCTTTTTGATCGTGCCTTGTTTCTTCAATGCAGTCATGTCACTCCAATGCAGTCACCTTATGTACTTAATTCAAATGTAGTCAGCTACAGGAGAATCTTACAAAAAAAAGTCTCAGTTTATCAACAACTTTGCAAAAATGACACTCCGGTAAACACACGCAAACAGATCTAGTGATGGCAATCTCCTCTGATGCACGTTCTCGCGTTCAGCTTACAGTCACAGATACTTGATGTCACCATCTGGGGGGGAGTGGGGGTCGGGGTGGTATGGGATCGGGGTTTTTTCCTGATCATCTGTAAATAACATAAATTTTTGACTGATAAGCTTAAGTGACGGATTATTGTTTCCATTTTTGTAAATTTAATGACTTCTTTGATAAATAACACAGAGCCAGAAACCACAGCACAGAGGTCGCTCATGTAGAATTTGAACACGTCGAAGAGACTGAAGCCAAAATTTTAAAATTTGAGAAGGGATTTTTTTTTTTCAGCCTAAACCTTAACTATCTGTTAGTCATTAGACTTTGAAGTGGGCTAACATGTTGTAGAACATGTATGCACACACATACCCGAGTGACCGCCGGGTCAGTCTGCATGTTCAGCTTTATGCAGGTCAGAAATAGGAAAACGGCAGAGAAGTTCTGCCATTACTGTGCGTGCCTGTTGTATGTGTGTGTGGGCTGGAACAGGCTCATTTGATGCTCTTTATCGTTAGTGAACTGGTTCTGTGTTATTATTGTGCATCACAGTAGCCTTTGTTGCATGAAAATCCTTTCAGAAAATTAGTTGTTTATTGTTGGTGATGGTGGTAGTGTTGATGATGCTGTTGTACTTTTTGGTTTGTGTTTTTATAAAGCCAAAGGTTCCTTTTGAAATAGTGTGCACAGATAATGATTTTTATTACTTTATGTTTCTGTTTTAATACTTTTTGTCTTGTTTTGTTTTTAGGGAAATGTGTCTGTTTACACCTGTATTGGAAAAATATAGATTGCATATATAAATACATATATCACTTATCTGGCTTTGTGAGTTTGCCTTTTGCTGTGCCTCCCTCTGTGTAATCAAAAAAGTTCAGCAGAGACTGAAACAAAGCACACACTACGAGAAAATATGAGCGTTTGTTGTACGCTGACCCGAACAAAGAGTGTGGTGTGGTGGCGAATGTGTTGGAGCTACTGGAACTCTCTTGTTTGTGGCTGGAACAGCAGGGGCTTATTCAGGGGGGCATCATACAACACAGGGGAACTGAGTACAGCAAAGGTAAACAAGGTCTTTAATCAGTCAGTGGGCGTTTGAAACTAGAGGACAGTCCAGAAAATGCCAGATGTGGGTGGAGAGCGCTTGCAGTTTGTATAGGAGGTTATAAGTAGAGGAGTGAACCGTGCCGGGAATACGGAGCAGAGCTCAGCTGTTGCATGGGTCTCGTCTGACTCCATTTGTCACAGCTCATCTTCCAGTTCTTCTCATCGACTGCCCTCCTCGTTGCATTTGTCTGGCCCCTCTCTGCAGAGCCATGCACCCCCAGCGTCCTCTTCCCCAGGCCATGCCTTCCGCCTCTCTGGGTCAGCAGCTGCGGGACATGGCCATGGGCCTGGGACGAGGCAAAAACTTCCTGGGAGGAAACTTTGCCTACAGTTTTATCCAGTCGGTTAAGGAGTGCCTCTATTTCCTCCTCTGCTGCTGGTGCATCAAAGAGATCCTGGACTGACAGACTGAGAGAAAAGGGTATATCAAGTGGTAGAGCACAGATTTTTCCTTGTTTCTCCACTGGGTCCTGTATTGTAATTTCAACCAGCTTTTATTTCATCAGAAATGGGAGTGTTATATGGTAAAGCCTTGGCAGGTATGACTTGTTTTGAATGACTGTTATGTATAAACTACATGCTTTAATTTAGAGTGTTTTATACATCTATCAATAATAATATCAAAATCATAAAACCACTCAACCCTTTAACATTTTTTTGCTTTTTGTTTTTCGGTGTCTCTATAGGAAGGGAGGTCTTTTGGGGTTCGAGGAAGCTTGCCAGCAGGTTTCAAGATGATACAGACTTTATATCCGGACTGGGTTAGAGTTTTCTGAATTGTGCCCTCATGATCTGAGATTCCCAGGACTGTGGCACACCTGATGTTCACTGTACAACACAAAGTGGTGTGGCAATAAATAAAGGAACTCATAAACAGAAAAAATTATTACCTACATGTCTGAATTTTTGCTTCTTTTCTTTTGGTCATTTGATGATTAAGTAATTCTGCACAGGCACCTTTAAAGGGAGAAAAATGCTTAAGTGTCAGTAATATACCTTCTATGAAACAGTTTTAGCTTGCATCTAATGTGACTCTTGGTATTTCTTAAGTGAGTGTGCAAAAGAGCATTATTATTATCGCTAAACTGGAGGCTCTATTTATGATGGAAACCATCAACTCAAGCATGTCTAATGTCAGGGCAGCAGTAGCAGTAACCTGTAGTATTAATTTTACATTAATTTAGCCTCCATCACTTACATATTTATACATATATATATGTCAATCAACTTAGAAGCTTTCCAGCCGAAGTGAAGCGACAACGATATGTTATTGGATGAGCGAGAGGCGGGACTAGAGCAAACGCGTTTTGTGATTGGGCGAGAAGAGCATGGCTCAGTAAGTTCTGGAGGCACGTTATAAGTTGTCAAGTTGGATAGGAAGAATCAAAGAAGTCCCAGCTTGCGTCTGTGGCGTCCTCTGAAGTCTAAAGTAAAGTGACAGACCACGGTAAGACCCACCTGTATTTTTGATTTTATTACAAGATAACGACGTCTTTTCTAGTGTCGTTTCTTCTCCCTCTGTGTCGCAAACGTTCACGTTTTCCTGGTTGCTCGGCAGACGTCGTTGAAGTGGAAACGTTTTTTTTTTAAGGACTAACGTCAACAACTTTCGGCTTGTGAAGCCTTTAGTAGCCTACCAACAGCGGCCCTCGCCACATGTGAGAAGTGATATTTCTGAGTTTAACCAGATGTTGTTGTCTTCTTTAAGGCCGTTTGGCATTTCCTGTTGCAGGTTATGAACTTCTTCCAACTAACCCCGACCCTTTTTGCATAGTGATAAGAGCGGTCTGCTTTTAGCGGTGATGCTGTGTGTGGAGCTGGCTTTAACTCGCAGCCCAGCGTTGGCTGTCCTCATGGAAAGTCTTGTAGTTTATCTCTTGACCTTTTTTGGTAATTTTTCCATGCAGAGGCAAAGACGCTGCAAAAAAAAAAGAAAGAAAAAAGATTAACAGTCTAGTCTCTGGAAGATAACACACACATGCAGATTAATGTCTGAAGAGATAAACTGAGATTAGACGCGTGCACTGTGAAAGTATGATCTTGCACTGACTCCTACATCTAGAGCTTAAAGGTTAAATTAAATGCTATTCGTACCGATCAGTGAATAAGATCAGAAAAGGATGTTATTTTTTTTTCTCCCTCCCTTGTGTTGCATGTAAAATAATCCTTTTTAAAACTGTCCTTAGAATACATTTCTGCCTCTATTTTATTCCCCATGGCCATCTCCTGCATGCTCCCTCTGTCTGTCTCTAGTCAATCTCATGGTAGCTATATTTAGCTGGCATCCATTTAAACCATTCCACTATATCCTCCACAATGCTCCTTGGGCCCCAGGCTAGATTCAGTAGGCTTCTCTTGGGAGGCACTCGATTAGGAGACCTAAATAGCAGAGCTGGGAGAGAATTGAATTTGGGGAGTGAAGTGTGTCATTACCCAGACAGTGTGGTATTAACTTAAGTGCCTCGTTCTTTCAGCATTCATACAAAACTAGACTGGATGCATATAAATATGTCTCGCTGTTATGCTACCTTGTGTAATTTGAAAGGAAAAGCTTTATAAAAATCTAATACCTGACACTTCCACCTAACAAGGGGGTGACACTGAAGTGGTTACATGGGAGATAATTTTCTCAACTACTGTGGTGGCAGTTAAGATGAATGATCTTACTGTAAAATCAGTGATTCCAAAGCAGTGGGGAGATATAGTATACACCACAAATGTGCTCATTTGTAGACCTCTGTTTAAGAGACCAGTACCTTTGAAATGGACAGCCCATTGTAGTGCCGGCCTTAGTTACCCATGTCTCTGCCAAAACATTTCCCAGCTAGTCAAAAGCCAGGCTGGCCAAAAGGCTCACAACACACATAAACTACTAATGAAGAACTGAATGCTCCGAGGGAATTAGACTTCCTGCTCACATACAAAATGCGCACACTCGCACAAAGACCTCAGTAACACATTACAGTCAGACCTTTATTGGCAAAATGGGTGAGGCTGAGTAGTAGAGGCTTGTATTCAAATCGGGTAAACATTGAGCGTAAATTTCTTAAAGCTGCAGTCCTCATGTTGTTACTGTAATTGTAAGCTAGTGGCACATTGTTAGTTGTCTCTTCTGTAAGTCAAACTGTAAAATATGCATGGCTTTGATTCAGGGTGTACGTATATACGCTCTTCACATTGTTCTCTATGTTGTTCTTGTGTTGCAGGAGAGACACGCAAAGTCTCTTGGGGGCCATGTCTGGCACTGGGAGTGCTAATAACAGCTGGACCATCCTAACTCCTGAGGTATCCTCACTCTGTATAGAGCACTGGAATACACAGGCTTTAAACAAAATACTTTATTTAAAAAAAATTACTGGTCTCAGTTTATTTTCTTTCAGTTACCTAAATATGAAGTTTGTTTTCTGTGCTAAGTCTGTCTTGATCTTTCTGATTTGACTAGTATTCAGGAAGGCAAACTATTATAAGATCTTCTCATTTGTGAGCCTGTTAAAGAGGGTGATGCTCAGTCACTCATTATTATTCCAGTAACGATATCTAAATGAATATATATAAAGAATCTTGTTTTATCTTTAAAAGTTGCCATATTTTCTCAGTAAGGACTCGTCCATAACTACAGATAACACATGTTGTGGGAAATTTAGTTATGCTTCATAAGTCTGGAAGAAAAAAATACATTGTAATATTAGATTTTTTTTAATTCGCTAAATATCAAAATTGGTATTGGTGTTGAAAATGAAACACCTGGGAGGTTTCTTTGATTTTCAAGTGGTCTTAAAAGTTTTTCAAGCTTTCTGAAGCTCTTTCAGACACTGGCTGCCTTTTCACTCATTTTCAGTCCAGTTTTTGTAATTTAATGATTTTCTTTTTGTTTATTTGTTAAGCCACTTAACACTGAATCATTATTGCACCAACATGATTTCCAGAGAGCTATTGGGGGGAAAAAATTGGCAGATCTTGACATGGTGTGTAGTGTATCCTGACATAGGACCTGAGAGAATCTTTTTCTTCACTTGATCACTGAAGCCTCATCAGAAATGGCCTCAGTGAAAGGGTAGCTGTCAAGAAGCCATTCTTAAGAGATGGAAACGCAGAGAAAAGGTCGAGATTTGCTGGATTACACAAGAACTGGACTGAAACTTATGGCAGCAAGTCTTATGGAGTGATAAATCCAAATGTAAAATTTTATGGGTCACATCAAAACAGCAGTAATCCCAAACACACTGATGGAGCAGTAAAGGCATATTTGCATAGAAAAACACACAGTGGAACACTCAGCTATGAATTGACCTCCACAGAGTCCAGATATTTTTAAAGCAGCGTGGTATCATGTGGACAGAGAACAAAACAAAAGGCAGCCAACACCCAAAGAAGAGCTTTGAATGTCCTTCAAGAAGACTGCTTTTGGTTTTATATAATGTGTGTTTTGTACATTGCAGTAAATCACTGCACCCTGATGGGTGGCTTAATATTTTGCACAGCATTGGATTGTTCTCTGACTGGGTGTTTGTCTTTCTTAGGAAACTGCTGCTGAAACCCTGAAGCCTGTGATAATGGGGACGGAGTACCATGGAGAAAGCCATACAACTGCACCAGGTGCCTTCACATTCATTCATTTTCTCAATCGCATATCCACATTAGGTTCGGAGTATACCTGAAAATACTAACTTTTGTAGCAAGTGCATTTACCAAGTTTGGCAAACTGAATGTGCTTTCTC